TGAGTCAGGGCCCCCCCAAGAGGCCCCTAAGAGGCCCCAAGAGGCCCCCACGAGGCCCTCAGGAGGCCCCCAAGAGTCCCCCAAGCGGCCCCAGGAGGCCCCCCAAACGCCCCCCCGAGCGCCCCAGGAGTCCCCCAAGCGGCCCCAGGAACCCCCAAAGCGCCGCATTGACACCAGGCCCTCGGGCAAACGGCAGACATGAGACCGTATGGGCCGGCGGAATGAGCGAAGCGATTCAATAAATCCTGAGTCAGGGCCCCCTGCTCGACGTTCCATGCTCGGGATTCTTTGCGCGGGACCCCGCGCCAAGAGCTCCACGTCAAGGTGCCCGCATGAAAACGTCAGTCCTCATCCAAGATGCATTGCGAAGAACCCCCCATGAAGGATTCCCCAATACGAATATCTTGCTCGAGGCCCCTGGCTAAGGCTTCTTCCAAGTGAGGAGCCCCTGCGGAAAAAAGTCAAAGTCATTACTAATGCTTCTCTCATATAGAGTTCCAGACCAAGAACTTCTTACGCAGGGCCTTCACGAATGAAGATTCCTTACTCAGGATTCCCCACCAAGGGTCACGCGCTAAGAATGCCTTGCCCTGGCTTTCTCATCAAGGGCCCCCCACGACGGATTCGGAGGATTCAGTGTCAAGGATTCCTTGTTACGGACTCCTTACCGGGGGGCCCTGCGAAGGAATCCCCCATGCTGACTGCTCACAGACGACTCCTTACTGGAGATCCCTCGCTGACGACGCCTCACTAGGGACGCCAATCCCAGAGCTCCGCGCGAAGGATTTCTTGCCGAGAAAGCCTCGCGAAGGAACCCCTACCCAACAGATCATGATGGGGGGCGCGTCACCCAAAACTCCTTTCTAAGTGCCCCATTGCTGAGGACACCCCTGATAAGAGCCCATTCCGAAGCGGCCCGTTCGACTGGCACTTTCATTCATTACTAGGGATCCCTCGTTAAGAACTCCGTCGTCAAAAACCGCATCAAGGTAAGGATCCCTGAGCAGGATTTCTCGCGAAGGATTCCCGATGGGGCCCCCCCGCTGAGCATTCCCCGCCCGGGCGCCCTGATTCTATGGAGGCTACCTTTAGCGGGCCTGTGGGATCTACGCGGGGCGATCGAAACGTGGGCCATGTCGGCCCATCCCCTATCAAGTGTTCGTGAGGATTCCGGATCCCTTGCTAAGGATTCCTTACTGAATTCTTTTCAATGAGGATCCCTTGCTAAGAACTCCGCGCTGAGGACTCGCCGCTAAGAGCTCCTCACCAAGGACCCCGAACTCAAGCTCCACGACCAAAAAACTCCCACTGTGGATTCCTCATTGGCAATTCCTGACCGGAGGCCCCTTACTTGGGAATCCTTACTAAGTACTCCATATCTGGGAATCATCGCGAATGGTTCTTTGGCAAGGAACTCATGGCTAAGAACCCCTGCCTACGAATTCGCGGTTAAGGTTTCAAAGCTAAGAACCCGTTATTAAGGAGCATGTATTAAGAACCCCTTGCTATGGATTCGCCGCTACGGACCCCCTATTCAGAATTCCTTACTAGGGACTCATTACAATGGGTTCCTTACGCTGGATTCGCTACTAAGGATCCCTGATGCAGAATTCCTCGCCAAGGGTTCGCCACTGCGAATCCTTCACAGAGAACGCCTCACATAAGGATTCCTCATTGAAGAGCCCCTGCCAAGGATCCGCTGCGAAAATTCCCTGGTTGAGGATTCCCCACTGAAGACCCCTGGTTAAAATCCCGCACCCAGGAACCCTCGCAAAGGGTTCACAGACAAGGATTCCGCGCGAAGGATTCCCCACTCAGGATTCATTACGAAGGATGCCTCACTAAGGATCTCTTACGAACAGCCCCTCACGCAGGAACCCTGGCCAAGGATTCTGCAGTAAGGGGTCTACTAGCCCCTTGCGAAGAGGGTCCCCAAGTAAAGGCTTCGCATTAAGGATTCGCCACAAAGAAATCCGTGCTACGGATTCCTCAGTAAGGATTCATCACTGCAGGTTCCGCACCCAGAATGTCGTACTAAGAGTCTCCTAATACGGATCCCACACGGAGAATTCCCCCCCCCCAGATCCTTGAGCGAGGCATCCCCGCGAAAGAGGCACTCATGAGGATGCCTCAGCATTGCGCATCAGTTTGCAACGACAGAATCCATAACGCGGACTCCTTGAGAAGGGACCCTTTACTACTGGGTCCTTTCCGAGGAGCCGTCCGCAAGGAATCCGACAAAGGACTCCTTGCCCTGCTCTGGGTCCTCCAGGAGCGCTGCGCCCGCTCTGGCCTCGCACCCGCGGCGCGCCAGGCACAGCGCCCTGCGCGGGCGGGCGCCGCGCCCGAAGCGGGCGCCGCGCCCGGCACAAAGCACGGCATATCGCCCCTGGAGGCGCGGGCGCAGCGCCCGAGGCAGGCGTGGCGCCCGAGGCGCGCGCGGCATCAAACCTGGGAGCCATCGGCGCCGCGCCCGAAGATGGCGCGCTTGCGCCCCCCGCGTCGAGCCTCGCGCGCCGCGCCCTGCCCCCGACCCGCCCCCTTGAAAGCCCGAGCGCGCCGTAGGGCGCGGGCCGCTGGGCCCGGCTATATCTTCTGAGGTCCCGAAGGCCTTCGGGAGCTGAAAGGCACCTCGTGGAGGCCCTGAGTTGAACGCCCGGGTCGCGCACCCCCTTCGCCTCTTCCTCGCCCTTCCTCGCCCGGGAAGAGGAGGCGTTAGAAAGAGGGCGGGACGGCTTGGCGGAGTGTAAGAAGGCAACTGTGGGGATGACGGAGGAATGCGCCCCTGCTCTCTACCGATGGCCGCCAAGCGCTGCTATGTTCTGAGGCCCCCAACCATCCGCAGGCGAATGGCAACCAAACGCTGCTACTTTCTAGCATTCCGATGCCCCCCGTGATTTCCGCGGCCATCTCCGCACGGGCCCGCGCGGCCGCGAGCTGGGGACCAGCTCCTGCCAGGATTGCCAAGTCGTCCCGGTCGCCCTCCCCGTCTGTGCTTGCAGCAGCGCGATCAGACGTCGAACGAAGATCGCCATCATCGCCAGGACTTCGGGAGGCGGGGCGAGACCTCGTCCTTTACGAGCTGCGAGCTTCTCCTCGCGGCGGGGCGGTCCGTCTGTCATGTTGACTGCAGAGCCGGCCTGAGGACCCAGGACAAGACAGCAAGCGCGACCGCAACCACCAGCATGGTGCTGCAGTCCTAAATGATGGGCGCCGCACCGTTGGCAACATATCCAATGAGCGAGTGGCCTCGGCATCCTGCGCTGCCGTGAAGGTGCGCAAAGGACCATGCCGAAGGCGAGCCACGGGCCAGCGGTATCCCCTCGGTTCCCCGGCTCCCCCCGGGGAGGCCTGCCTCATGAGCCAAAACTGCCGCGGAGGAGGCGGGGAGGATAGAGAGAGGGGAGGGAGAGGGAGGGAGGACAGACACATGAGGCAGGACGAGCAGACGTCGCCCCCGCCGCCGCCGCCGTCGCCGTCGTCGTCGTTCTCCCCTAAATCCCCCCCCCCCAGAACTCCGGCGTCGTCCACCCCAAGCGGGTCTTGGCCCCTTCCCCAGGACTGGTGCTCCATCCCGGCCCGCTGTGGATGGTCCTGAGGCCTGGTGAGGCCCGCCCCCCGAGGCTGAAGACAACCCAAAACCGCCCGTCTTGCTCCTGTTCACGGCGAGGCGAAACCGGAGTCCCCCCCGTGGCTCCGCGCGGTTCCGCTCGGTGGCGTCCAACTCCGCCTGCAGCGCGCGCATCTCCTGCCGCGCCGCCTGCGCCGGGGAGGGGAGGGCGCCGACGGCAGCAGGCAGCCCACAGAGAGGGAGGAGAGCACGAGAGAAGCAAGGAGCAACGAGAGGAGGAAACAAGAGGAGAGGAGCAAGAGGAAGAGCATCGAGAGAAGGATCAAACAGGCGAGGGGCAAGAGGAGGAGAGGCAAGAGGAGGAGGGGGGCTGGCAGCAGCCGCAACGGCACGAGGATCCATCCCATTCCTCCGCCCCCGCCCCCCGAGATGCCCCACGAACCCGTCGCCACCGCTCGTGGCCTGGGGCGGCGTTGCTGGGGAGGAGGAGGAGGAGGAGGAGGAGGAGGAGGAGGAGGAGGAGGAGGAGGAGCGAGTCCGAAACAGCGAGGGCGTACATGCTGGCAGCAGTCACGCAACACCGTCGTTCGCGGGCTGGACTCGGCCCTCGGCGAGGAGGAGGAGGAGGAGGAGGAGGAGGAGGAGAAGGTGAGCACCCCCCTCCTCTCCCCATCGCCGCCCACTGTCCCCGCGCATCCTTCTTATCATCCACCTCCCCTCTCACCTTTCCCCCTCTCTCTCTCTTCCTCTCTCTCTCTCGTTATATGTTACGTGTTTGTTGTCTCTCTCTCTCTCTCTATCGCTCTTTCTCTCGATGTTTTTTTTTTCTCTCTCTCTCTCTCTATATATATATATACACATACATATAGATCGCTCTCTCGGTCTCTCTCTCTCTTGTTATGTGTTGCTCTATCTATCTCTCGATGATATATATATATATACATATATAAATATATATGTGTGTCGGCGTCCGACAAAGTTCGATTGCAATCAACGCCTCCGTCCGTGGACCGCGCCCGGAGGTCCCTCTGCGCCGCTGGCTTTTAAACTGAAATGTGTGCGTGTGTGTGTGTGCGCCTGTGTGCCTGTGTGCCTGTGTGGCCGTGTGGCTGTGTGGCTGTGTGGCTGTGTGTCCCGAAAGGGGCCCTCGAGGTGTCCTCCAGAAGCCCCCAGAGACCTTCAAGACTTCCCCCAGAGGCCGAAAGAGGCTCTCAGGAGGCCCACGAGAGGCTTCCAAACTGCATCCAAGAGGCCTCCAGGAAGGAGCGCGTTTCTTTATCATCGGCGATGATGGGCGTTACAAGGGGGGGGGGGGGGCCAAGGGGGGGGGTGTAATGCAACGCCTTCCCCCCGCCGTGCGCACGGCGGCAGTGCCCGGAGCGCACCGAGGGGAGGGGCGTTGGGGCCGGGGGCTATGATGCCCATTATGCTTGGTGTGCGTGCGTTTGCCTGCCCCACTGCGGGGCCATCAGGCTGCGAGGATAGGGTTTCATGCAACCTGCGCCAGTACCACTTTCCGATGTTTCCAGAATGCTGCAGTCCTGTTTTCTGCTTCCTGCTGGAAGCTGCTGCTGTCCGCGCGAGGGTGGGGGTATAGCCGAAAGCCGCCCTGGCCACCGCCCCCCCCGCGGCTCTCAGAAATCCACGGGGGTCCCAGGACTCGTAGGAATACAACGGGCTCGCGCTCCAGAGGCTGCAATCGCGCAGGAGGAGGAGCAGGAGGAGGAGGAGGAGGAGGAGGAGGAGGAGGAGGAGGAGGAGGGAGGAGGAGAGGAGGGAGGAGGAGGAGGAGGAGGAGGGAGGAGGAGGGAGGAGGAGGAGGAGGAGGAGGGAGGAGGAGGAGGAGGAGGAGGAGGAGGAGGAGGAGGAGGAGGAGGAGGAGGAGGAGGAGGAGGGAGGAGGAGGGAGGAGGGGGAGGAGGAGGAGGAGGAGGGGGAGGAGGAGGAGCAGGAGGAGGGGACAGGTTCGCGCTCCAGAGGCTGCAAGCAATCGTGAGCTGCACTGCAGCCCAGTCGCGAACCCCCGAGGCCGTGCACGCTGCCTCGCAAACTTTCGCCGCGCTCGCGCCGCAGGGGCCACCACCACTCCTAAACTGGGCATCGCTCGGACGTCCATTCCCTGTGTTTTTGTCGGTTTCGTGCGTGGTTTTTTGTCAACAAATGCTCAAGGATGCTCCTCGATGGCCCTCGCCGAGAAAAAATGCACACGTCCGATCGATGCCAGGTAAACGACGCCGCGTTTGAGCCCTCGGGGCCACGATCCCTGACTCCGAGGCTCTTAATAAGCGTCGGGGGGGGGGCGTCAACCCCGCCGACAGCCCCACATCGACCCCCGTCGCGGGCAGCCACCGCGCGCCCAAGGCGCTCCGACGCCCGTCGCGGCGCGACGACGAGGCGAGGCTGACCCCCGTCGGGGGGGTACTCCCCCACGCTTACTAAGAAACCCAGAGTGTACATTACGCCAGATTCGCGCGCCCCGAGGCCACGACCCTTTTTATGAATTGCGCGACGGTCGCCGCCCCCTGGAGCCGCGGCCCTTCGCAAATTGCTGCGCCGGATTCGCGCTCCGGGGGCAACGGCCCCAGGCAAATTACGCCGCAGTCGCGCCCCCGATGCCCGCTTCCTATATGGATTACGCCAGATTCGCGCCCCCGGGGCCACGACTCCGCGTGAATTGCATCGCATTCGCGCCCCCGAGGCCACTATCCCAAGTAAATCACGCAACAGTCGCACCCACGAGGCCACAAACCCTCGTCACTTACTGCAAATGTACGCTCCCGAAGCCATGATTAACCCTTTGCAAAATTCAACAAGTTCGCGCCCCCGAGGCGACAGTCCCCCGTAAATCACAATGCATTCGAGCTCCCAAGGCTACGAAACCCACCCCACGGAGGCTACCCAATAACGCTATCCCCCTCTCCAGGGCAGAAAACTTGTAACTCTTTGCGTTGGGACATGTGTTCGGGCGGGCGCTTTTCGGCCCCCCCGCCGGTTCCTTGCGCTGGGCCCGCGACCGCGACTCGTTAAAAATTTGCTGGCCCAACGGGCCAACGGCGTGCAAAAATCTCCAGCACCAGCTTTGTAATAGATCTAGCTCGCGAGCGCGTGACTGCCCCCTGGGGTTCCCCGGGCGACAAGTACCCCATGCAAATCCCGGACGGTCCCCGTCACGAATGCCAGAACTCCTGGGGCATACCTTCAGGACCATCAAGAGCGTCTCAAGAGGCCCCCAAGGCGGCCCAAGAAGGCCCAGAGTCAACGGAAGTCGTTCCAAGATGCCCAATGTAGCCTCCAGACGGCTTCAACCGTCTCCAAGACGCCCGAAGATGCCTCCAATGCCACTCCCAAGAAGCCCCCTAGAGGCAACATTCCACGATTTTCCATTGGTTCAGGTTTTCTGCGTTCTCACCTTTTCGGCCGCCGACGTTCTAAGACGGCCCAAGAAGCCTCTAAGATCGCTCGAAGACAGCCTAAGAGGCCTCCAAGAGAACCCCACCACGGCCCAAGAGGGCCCCAAGACTGCCCCAGAGGCCTCTAAGACGGGCAGAGAGAGCCCCAGGAGGGCCCCAAGAGGGGCCCCAGAAGGATGAAGCCGAGAGCGGGCATTTCGAGCCCTCGGCCCCAAGAGGCGTCCAGGCTGCCCCGAGCGGCCCCCCAGAGCTCCCCAAGAGGGTTCAAGAGGACCCCAAGAGGCGCCAAGAGAGCCCCAAGAGGCGTCCATGGCGCCACCAGGAGGCCTCCCCAGAGCCCCTAAACCTGCTACATGCACAGGAGCCCCCCGAGAACACTCCGAAGAGACACCAAGAAGCATCCATGAGGTCTCTCACCCACAACCGCAGCAGCGCCGACCAGCAGCACCGCATAGCCTACGAATGCGCACGTAAACGCCAACGATGGCACAATAGGGGCTGGCGGGATGAGCGAATCGATTATATAGCGAAGGACGCAAAAAATCCGCCGAAGACGGTCCCCCAACATGAGGGAACACTCTAAGAAGGCAACAGAGCCTTCCACAGTAACCCCAACATCTCCACACGTGTTGCGGATTACTGGCTGACATCGCACGGAACTCCCAGATGTCTTCAAGACGGCGCCGAGACATTCCAGCGTACAGTCGGCCCGCATCACAGGGATGCGCGATAGGGATGCAGGGGTCTTGGACGCCCCGTTCGAAGCTTCTCGAGCGTGGCGCGGCCAAGGACAGTGGCCAAAGATGGACCGAGGAGGCAAGGACTTGTTTTTGAGGGAGAAGATGGGAGCGGACCGCAAGATTCAAGAACCACCGTCGTAACGCGAATGCCGGTTGCATTTGAAGGCCGTCTTCTTCATCACCATTTGTGTGTGGAAACGGACGCAGGAAACGACAATGCAGATAAGACAGGATACGAACTCGCTGGGGTACAAGGGGTACAGGTACCCAGGAGGCGAGGATGCAGGGAGGAGGGAGGAGGAGGAGAAGAAGGAGGAGGAGGAGGGAGAGGGGGAGGAGGAGGGGGAGGAGGAGGAGGAGGAGGAGGAGGAGGAGGAGGAGGACGAGGAGGAGGAGGACCCTCGAGAGCCTTACTGCGCGGGCCGGCCGCAGCTCCGACGCGCCCCGCTCAGGGCAGGAGGAGTGGGGGCCGCGGGCGGCCGAGCGCGCAGCCCCTGCGGAGACGTGCGCGTGCGCACGGCATAGCCGCCACCGCGCCTCGAGGCGCGCGAGGCGGAGTGCCCTCGGGCCCTCGAGGACGGCCTGCTCGCTGTTTAGGGGCTTACATGCGAACCCTGCCCCTACCCCCCACGATTTCTGAGGGGGAGGGTGGGGTTCACTTCGCTCCCCCTCAGAAATCGTGGGGGGTAGGGGTAGGGTTCGCATGTGGCCCCCTAGCTTTGCCACACACGGGGGCACGGCAATACTCCAAGGACTGGGGGCCCCAGATCTCCAGACCTTCCGGGCGCTCCCGCGCGCTCCTGGGATCGGTCGTGTGGATGTTCCAGGGAGGCCAGGGGGCCCCAAGACGGACCAAGAAGGCCCGAAGAAGCGCCCAAGCGGGTCCCAGGGGACTCCAAGACTGCCCAAGAGCGCTCCAAGACGCCCGAGACGACCCCTATGACGGCCCACGAGGCCCCCAAGAGGCCCCAAGAGCGCTCCAAGAAGACTCCCAAGCGGGCCCCAAGAGGCCAAACTCAATGATGTTCCTCGCGTTTGTT